ACTTTCCTGTCGGGAAAAAACGAAAGAAGGCCCCTTCTTGGGGTAAGAACTATGTCATGGGTCCCACCGTAGCCCCACTCACCGCCACTTCCGCTGCCAATGCAACACTTTCACGTTGCAGTTCTAAAGACTTTGTTATACAGCCCTGAAAGCCCACTGCCGACATCGGACTGTCATCATTGTTACTGTCTCTACGCGTGTATGCAAGCTTCTCCTCGAGACGATGTGTTCAGATAGCGGGCATGTGTTGAGAAGTCTGTTTCCTCGCTACGTTTCGACCTGAAATGATTAAGATCGCTGTAAGGCGCCGCCACATGGTGCTGCATAACGCAAACGGAATCGTAAAAATGCGACTTATTTGCACCACCAGGCCAAGGCAAGAGTGACTTCTGGAAACATGGTAAATACTGTCACCAGGTCGGACATTTCTGTTGAATAATTGGCCGTCCAAGCCGTGATATTTTGCTATATAATGGTGCCAAAAATGCAGAATAATGAAGGTGATTAGATGTGAAGCAGCGACTGATAATTGGTGATGACAAAATGACGAATCATCACCACATTGCGTTGTCACTGTTTTGATCGCTGCGAACTAATATGCACATAAGGTACTGACAAACCTGTATTTTCCACGACAACCGAGTTTGCAACGAGTCATTTCTCATACGACAAACTCAAAAGTGGTCATTTCCACTAAGATAGCACAGCCTAGTAAATCTTTCAGCCAGACAGATCAAAAGCTTACGGAGCAGATCCTTCTTAATATGGGATGTCGTATCCAGAAGCCGAGTGCGAGTGGTAGTTAGAGAGGCTGACGACTCCATACGGACGATGGGCGTAGACGTCGTAGTTGTACCCGAAAGAACGTCGTAGCGTCCGTGGCTGGATCCGTGTCCTCCGTGGCTGCGACCGGATCCGTGTCCCCCGTAGCTGCGGCATGGATCCGTGGCCTGTAGTTGTACCACAGAGAACGCCCGTGGCGTCCGTGGCTGGATCCTTGTCCTCGGTGGCTGTGGCTTGAAGCCGTGCCTCCCACTGGCTGCGGCTGAATCTGTGGCCGTAGTTATACCCCAGAGAACGTCCGTAGCCTTAGGGCCGTGTCCATTTCCTCCGTGGCCGCTATGACCATAGCCGCCATAGTTGTCATGGCTTCGGCCGTGTGAGAGCAATTGAGTAAAACAGCAGATGAAAGTGCAACGATAGACCAGTTGTCCGTCGAAAACTGTCCACAAAATAAGTTTGCCCTCCTGTGATGTTTTAAAAACATGATTTGCTGGTAGGTTATCGAACAACTTTTACACCTGTGAAAACAGGGTTATTTTGAAAACGAGCAGCTTTAAATACTCTGAGATGTATTGTAAATTGTCTGTTAGATACAAAGATATACGAAAGAGTACAACTGCATTGTTTGTTTCTTGCGGCAGCACAGAAAAGCCTAGGAAATATTTACAATTTACCTGGAAACTCTGTCTCGGTATGGCATTTTAAGGCAAGGATGACTTAACCGGCACAATTTCGAAGACATTCTAATTAGAAGCCAATTGGACCCTCACCGCCGAGCAGTGAACATCTGTCGTCAGTTCAGCGTCCCTGGACCTGTACCACTTGTTTGTTTCACTTCCTGATCATCCTGACAATCCGTGCGGTCGTTTCCGTATCACCCACTGCAAGGTGGCCACGTATGTTCTCAGAACATGGACGTAGATGCATTGGAAGCAACAATGAGCCATTACCGCAGTAACGTTTATATTCTACCGTCGGTGTCGACGTTTCAACGAGAATTTCGGCTTTCTGCTAGCTGATGTTCACATCTGGTCTCCCCAGACCATTCAGATTTCCTTGAAAGATTCTTGCCCTTATGTGCCTTGATCCGCCTTGAAAATCGTATAACGTTACAGCGACACCCTTGCCGTGTCCCCTGGCGTCACGTAACCTGGTCGCACCATTCACATTCCTCATCTGCTGTCCGCGGGCACTTTGGGCGACAGGTTCTGTGACCTCACGGCTCGGTCACCAACTTCCCCAGAAAGCCAGCCATACCGGGGTTTTCCCTTGCGCGACATCACGATGTGACTCGAACGTCAGGAATATACTGTCTTTCAGACGAATTATAGAATTTATCATCCTGGGTTCAAATCACAGCAAACCCCAATATTGCTCGTTACCTGTGGACACGTGCCGGAGAGTACATCTCTGAGCGTACATACCTAGATCACAGGTATGTGTGGTACCTTTTGTGAATGGCAAGACGTATCGACCCTGAGGGAATAATTTGGCATCGCATATCCGGATATTGCAGCGAAAGTTGGCTGCAACAATGCTGTGTTGCATGTGTCAGATCATTTTCATCTGCCACCCATTCCTGCAAGTGCGACGTGTGGACAGTGTCGGATGGATGTATACGTCTGCGCCAGCATGTTGTATATGCATATTGGTGGTAGCATATCGGACATTTCGCTAACGGTAAGCCAAACGATCGGATACCCAGACTTCCCGAACAGCATAGCACACATAACGATGCTGATTAAAGCCATACACCACATATATTGACGGTGTTGCGGGTTATTTTGGATGTTGTTAGCTGTATTTTCTTTTAATTCATGGAATAACTCCTTGGAAGAGATGAGTAGACATAAAATCCTGTCTCACAAGTGTAGCCATCCGTACGCTGTTTCGTCACTCACAGTATGGGCAAGTATGGCAAGTTGTGCATCTCTACGGATGCCTTTAAATGAGACCAGTACTATCGGGACGGACGATTCTCATGATGTCCTGCGCGTCGATCGACAGTTTTGCTGATTCGCCATGATGCTGGTTTACACAGGCCATGTTCCCTCAACGTCCTCGGTGATGGCGAAAATTACAAGAGTCTGGAAGTGAAAGCATATAATAGTGCCTGTTTCGAGAACCTACAATAATGCCTGTTATAAGTCCCCAGCCGCCCCATGGTCCTGATGAAGTACTGGCTTTACCCATCTTAGGGCCCATGACCATGCAAGTTGGTCTTCGATTGTAACATGGCTTCAAGTTGGTGGTCAGTTCATCGTCGGTAGTTTAATAAACTTGCCATGGTTGGACATTTCACGGGTGATAAACAACGTCCAGATGAAGGCAATAGTGTTACTCTGCTGCTGAAATTGGGACCTCTCTGCTACAACTAAGACTGGATACCTGTTCATTCTGGTTCTGGTCTGTGTCAAATGCCGTACGTGTATGTTGATGCTGGATTTCTGCTCTGCAAAGTCATCAGCGCAGGCATAATCCAACGTCGTGATTAGCTTATGTTCGCGGACTTCCTAACGTGTTGGGAGCTAATGAAGGAAGTCATATCTTCCAGGAGACTGTGTGTCGGTCAGTTGTCGCTGCAGTCTGGGCGACACGGTCGGCGCTCCCAACACCTGCACTTGTCGGGGGTGCCGGAGACGTGACGGTCACGCGTCACTGGATCACACTCTGTTCCATGGGCGCTGTCTTATTACGTATTGCATAATACCGTCATTGGGTAGAGTCACGCACAGTAGGAACGGAGAATGACAATTGCAACCTAACAATGCTGGCTGTATGGCTATAGCTCCTGCCGCTTCTCATTAAGAACTAATCATGCTCTGATACCCTGTTCACCTGTCAAACTTGTATTGGTGATGGAGCCTCTTCATCGTTGCTTTAAACGGGACCAGGCCCGGTCACGACGGGTAAAACTGCTTTTTGCATTACCTTAAATCTTAACCCGGTATTTTTCACTTGATTTCCTTTAATCCCGCGTCAGCAGTGACGGAAAAGCAGGCTTCGGCAGTGACGGACAAGCGTAACGATATCATGCTAATAAACGTGACTAGAAAACATGAGAGTGGAGGCTGCCTTACGTGAAATCAGAAGGCGAAAACTTGATGAACGCATAGAAAGTGGCATACTTTATGAACGGTTATGTCAAAACCACTGAACATCACACGGCCATACCCATACCAGGAGATTTAACAGCTATGTTGTGATATCACAGTAAGCATTTTGTGATTAATGGCGGTCAAGTATATTAACAAGTGCTCGTCAAAATTGGATTCTCTAAATTAGAGCCACATGCCGCAGTCTCACGCTCCCTAACGTCATTCCACCAACCACGGTTAATGCAAACATTCGTGAGAAACAACGGTATGGCCCATTCTAGGGTTCGCGTATGGTGTTCATCGTAATGTGAATGTATTTCATCGACATTTGATTTAACGTAACCAGTCTTTATTTTCGCAGCAGATGAACTGACACTACAAATATCTCGCCCAGCGGAAATCAGTCACGGATCAATGCACCAACCACCGCCGAGCTTATCTTTTGGATTGCTATCATATGAGCTGACTCGATTGAATTCGGGTCACTAACCAGATCCGGGTCACTAAGTCCTTTATCCCCTTTGTATGATGCGAATTGTCAATTGTGGACATTTTCAAGATAGTTCGTGATACACATTTCCTAGCCATAATTGTCTTCTTTGTTTCTGTTAGGTTCGACTGAAAAAATCCAGAACCGCAAGAACTTGAAGAGGGGAGGGATGGAGTGGTCGTTGTTGGTTGTAGGTAGTATTTTCACATGAAGGACTTGAAATTTTTGGACAATCTGATTTTTTGGACAGTTTTTTGACGGACACGAAGCTGGCCGTGGGACGCTGGGTGGGAGATTAAACGAGAACCTCAATTAAACGGAACCTCTGGTCCATAAGATTAGTCGCACTCTGTAACCAGGCTTTAGGTCCAACTGAAGCCCGGCCAGCTGCCGGGTGCGCGGTGACGCCGGTGGCAAATGTCTGAGACGATTTTACCGTGTGCTTTTACGGCGCTGTCATCGCGCTGTGACATCGTCCAGCGAGTTTTTGATTTACTTTGATCGGGAGGGGTCTGGTAATGCTGCAAGTAGCGTTGCCAGATAAGTAGCGTTGCCTTCGCCTTATAAGCGGCCAGCTGCCCTCAATCGGCACCACTGCTCCTACAGCTGGACACCCCTCCACAGCCAAGATGAACGCCAAGCTGGTGGTAAGTGATCAACGGTAGAGACTATGCACTAGCATGCAACTTCACTTTCCAAAGTTCAAAGAATATCGTGACTTAAGTGTCTGCTCTCTTCCTTGTTATAATCATCAGCTATATGCACTAGGGAAATCCCTTCCTTGCCTGTCCAGGTCAGCTGCATCATGGGTGCAAAATTAGTTTCCGCATCAGTTTCGCTGGCTTATTTGGTATACAGTTCTCCGTGCGCAATTTCGAGGAACGCTGATAGCTTGACAAACTGACATCTAGCCGACGATCCGTTTCAAATTCACTCTGGCATGTCTGTGCTAACGAGCATCGCGTGTTTCCGTTTTCAGCTGGTTCTGCTCGCCGCCCTGGTGGCCGTTGTCTCTGCCTCACATGGCCTTAGCCATGGCAGCCATGGCAGCCATGGCAGCCATGGCCATAGCAGCCACGAAGGGAACAGACACGGCCCTAAGGGCTACGGACGTTCTCTCGGCTACAACTACGGTCACGGATCCAACCGCAGCCACGGGGGACACGGATCCGGCTACGCCCGCCACGGACGTTCTCTCGGCTACAACTACGTAACATGCGCCCATCATCCGTATGGAGCCACCAGCCGCTCTAACTACGAATCGTACTCGGCTTAGTGGATACGCCCACCCATGTTAAGAAGGATACGTTGTGCGAGCTTTTGATCTGTCCGGCTGAGGGATTTTGTGCTGCGTGATCTTAGCGGAAATAATCGCTCAGGAGTTTGTCGCACGCTGAGAAAACACTCCTTGCGACATCCGTTGTCATAGAAAATGCAGGTATATCTGTACCTGATGCGTATCTTTGTTTACAGAAGCAGTAACAATGGCGATGGAAGGCGGTGATAGTGAAATCAATTGAGTCATGACGAAATGTCATGCGTTGCTTCACAACCAGCTGCCTTGAATTATCTGCACATTTCGCTCCGTTAAACAGCAGTATGCCACGGCCTGGACAGTCGATTGTGCAACAGAAATGACCTGCAAGGTGACAGTACTCAAATGTTGTCGGATGTAAGTTTCTTTTCTCCTCTACACAGCCCTATCCTGCTGACGCATGTAAGTCGCATTTTTTACTTTCCGTTGGTGTTAAAGGAACTGTGCCGCTTTTGTGCATATGTCAAAACATGCTCTAGAAATACCTCAGGACATATGATGTCTGAAAATAATGTCGAGTATTGCCACGGAAGCACGGTCAAGACGTGGTAAGGATATAAATTATAATCGCTTTCGAGTCCAACTTACGGTGTCAGCGCGATGTAACAGCTGGGACAGGGCGTTTTCGTGTTGAAAGACATTACAATGCAGATTGCTCTTTAATCATTTTCGAACACTCCTAGCTTGTTGTTTCTAATCAACAGGGTCTCAAGACGTTTGACAGTACGTCTGTTAGCCACGCGTGGGTTAAGTTGTTGGCTGTAAGCTGTGGCCGTAAGTTGGTAAGTGCTTTCGCGTGGAATATCATGCACTTAGACAAGGCAGTAGTAATAGGTTGTATGTATATATATATATATATATATATATATATATATATATATATATGTATGTATAGATATAATATGTAATAGATGTGCTGATATGTTGACAGCATGTCTTTGTCGAAGCGAATGACAGTAGTAAAACCAAAATTACCTGTCAATCCTAGTGTTTTTTTCATTTTTTTTTTAAACTGCGAACCACAGTTTTTACGTCACCAACATTCCAAGAATTTAACGAGGAGTGATTGCCAGCCATTACCACCGCTCGAGGCTTTGAAGAGCACGTTTGCTAAACAGAGAATTGTGCTGTCTAGGGCAATATTTTCCACCTAGAGGTTTCCAACAATAATTATGAGTGAGGTTGTTTCGTCATATGTGGTTCCCATCGCTCGGCCCAGGTACACCGGCGGGGCGACGAGCTTGACGTGGGGAGGCTACTAAGCAGGAAGCGACAATGTGGACGGTATTTCTTCGGAAAACACGGCGCTGAAGGCGTCGTGGCCCCGTGATCAATGGACTCGTGTCATACCCCGAACTACGCACGACTGTGGTCTCACGTCCACACGAGGCTTCGGCAAGTTCCAACTCCTGTGCGCTCGGCGCGCCGCCCGACCCGCAGGCGGGCCACGAGCGTCGGACGCCCTGGTCCGTCCACACCGTACGGTGCTGTCCTCTGTCGGCGGGTCGCGAGCGCCATGCCGCGCTCGCGCACCCTCTGGTGCTGCCCTCTGTCGCCAGTGGCGATGCTGGCCGGCAGATGGCGCCTGTTCCCCTCCAGCCGATACCCCGGCCGGCGCCCCACGAGCGACCTCCGCTGGTCTCGCAGATTCGGCAACGGTCTTTCGAAATGTAGAGGGTAGAGGTAGATGTAGAGGATGAGAGGGGTCTTTGTCAACCAGGCATGAACGCCGTGCGAAGATCAATCAGTGAATCAAGCTGCACAAGGCAACACAAAAGTTGCTGAAATAATGTCTTTAGACAGGAGATGGCCCTGCACTACCCGGCTGCATAACCCGTCTCGCTGCAAGCTGTAGACTCTCCGGCTGCAAGCTACCAACTACCCAGCTGTGAGCTACCGACTCGTCTGGCTACAAACTGCCGACTCCCAGGCTACAAGTTGCCGACTCCCGCAGCTGCTAGCTGCCACTGACCGGCCCAGTACCGTGCGGTGGCGTTCAACGGCGGATGCAGGGAAATATAAACACTGGCAGATGTAGGGCACTTGTTGTGTGATGGTGGTGTACAAGGCGTCTTATTGAAACCATGAACGCACGCAAGGGTGGGTTTTGACGGATCAACGTTATCTGTCAAGTGAGTCAGTGAAGTAAATGTGTGTGTGGGTATCCTCTCGTGTCGCAAAACCTATCATGTTAAAAAGTTCCGCACTGAGCTACACGGATTCGCGCGCCTACATGAATCATTTGCAAAAAAACATCGCTGCTTCAGGCAGGCTTCTTGAGAAATTCTCAAAATGCATGCCTGAAGCAACGACGTCGTTTTTTAATGGAAAGATTGAAAATGATTATGAGTAAGAAATGCGCATTACAGATTATCTTGAAAATATGCACAAACAACAGTTCGCCTTTGACAAAGTGGATAAAAAACTCGAAAGGATTTACTGCCTCGGACCACTGACCACAGATACAGTGGGGAACGGGATGTTTTTATTTTTAGTTGAAATGTGGGTCAAGTGTAATATGTGTGAGGGTTATTCTACAATCTGGAGCCGTAGAAGCCTGGATGAGGTTTTTCGGCACCTATCAGATGTACTATCGCCTTTGGAATGTATTGCGTGATGTCTGTGAGCAGAGTGCATTTCATAGTCGATCCACGTAAGAATTGCGTTCAGTGTACAGGATTCTTCGAAACATGTCCTGTTGTTGTGCTGAGTAAACGTTCTTTAAATTCCAAGTGTTCTACCTAGAGTGAAACGAGGGTTTTCTTGAGGCCCTGAGTTCGGTGCCAAGCACCATGCCGTTTTTTAGCTTTGTGTCGGTAGCCATCTGTGGTGAAAGACGCAACATACAGGCAAGATGAGCATGCCTCCTACCAAGGTCTCGCTACCGGTTTCGGGTAATTTTTCTAGTATCAACACGGAGAACAGAATAGATGAAGACTTGAGGCAAGCTTTACTAAACCGGTCCCGATCGCAATGATTGCTCGGGATGACAACTTTGGGTTTATCCGCGGCCTGGATCCTGGTGGACTTTTTTCTCGAAAGGCAGGCCCAAAGCAGCGATATTTTTGGCAGATGATATATTGAAGTACGCGGAACTTCTTCACCATGACAGGTGTTGCGCAAAGACAGGATCCACATACGCACATTTACCTCACTGATTCGTCTGACAGATGGTGTTGATCCGGCAAAACACACTTTTGCATACATTCAGGGTTTCAGTAAGACGCCTGCTACACCACCACCACACAACAAATGCCCTACGTCCGCCAGTGTTTATATTTCCTCGCACCCACGGTCAGACGCCGCCGCACGATACTGGGCCGGTTGGTGGCGGCTAGCAGCCGCGGAGTCGTCAGCTTGTAGCCGCGGAGTCGGCAGCTTGTAGCCGCGGAGTCGGCAGCTTGCAGCTTGGGAGTCGGCAGCTTGCAGCCAGACGGGTGTTGCAGCCGGGAAGGGTAGGGCCCTCTCCTGTCTCAAGACATTTTTTCAACAACTTTTGTGTTGCCTTGTGCAGCTTGATTCACTGATTGATCTTCGCACGGCGTTCATGCCTCGTTGACAAAGATCCTTCTCATCCTCTACAAGTACCTCTACCCTCTACATTTCGAAAGACCTTTGCCGAGTCTGCGAGACCAGCGGGTCACTCATGGGGCGCCGGCCGGGATATCGCTCGGAAGGGAACAGGCGCCATCTGCCGGCCAGCATCGGCACTGGCAAGAGAGGGCAGCACCAGAGGGTGAGCGAGCGCGGCATGGCACTCGCGACCCGCCGAAAGAGGACAGCACCGTATGGTGTGGACGGACGAGGCTGTCCGACGCTCGTGGCCCGCCTGTTAGTCAGGCGGCGCGCCGAGCGCATAGGAGAAGGAACTTGCCGAAGCCACGTGTGGACGTGAGACCACAGTCGTACGTAGCTCGGGGCATGAGACAAGTCCATTCACCACAAGGCCATTTTCCTGTCACCCCGTTTTCCCGGGGGAATACCGGCCGCATTGTCGTTGCCTACCCAGCATCCTCCCCACATCCATCCCGTCGTGCTGCTGACGGGCTTGGTCGTGCCCGCGGCGCCTTTAACACCGTTTACTCGGCGTAGCTGATGTGCGACTACTGTTGGCCTGTTGCCGGCACAACAAAGAACGTATACAGTCCCACAGTCAGAATGGCTGAAGTACGAATCCAGGGCGGGGACGAATTTTTTGAATGCCTACAGACTACGGCCGGCTGGTCCATTGCCAGTGCTTATGACAACAGCCGGCGGACGTTGATATTATTTATCACTGGCGGCACCTTGCAGGGAACGTATCACATTTAAAGATATTGAAGTAAGAATCAG